GGCACACCATGGCTGATCCTTGAAAAGGAAACTTTGGGGTTTCGGGTCTAACTTTTATGTGGCTGAAATTGGTGCTTCAAATGACTTTTTAATTCCCAGCCATTTAACAGAAGTAGTACTCACAGGAAAGTCATCCGCATTTGCCACATCAGATGAGCCAAGTAAATACTGCAGACCACTTGCAGTGGTGAACGGAAGCCCTCAGAGACAGTTTCTCCTGCCTTACAGCGACTTCTTTCACTTGACCCATTTAATTTTGCTCCTTAGGAGTAAAATTAATTTAGCTCCTTAAGAGTAATGAAGATGTTGGTTACTTTGAAGGGAAAACATAAAAATGGAATAAATACCAACCCATTTTTCCATCTCAGAATATCACCCTAGAGTGTGAGCCTGAAATCCCTGTGACCTTGGGGAGCGGTGCCAGCCTTGGAATTCTCCATCTGGCTGCTCCCATGGGTGCCCTTTCTGCACTGCCAGCCTCGCTGGGTTCCTGAGCTGTGCTCATTGTCAGATGTGAGCAATGGCAAAATGGATATTGATCTCTAGAAACCCTGGGCTATTTAATATCATTTTTTTCCTGCTTTCCAATGATTTGTGTATTGGAGGTTCTTAGATTTTATTTCTTCCACCACTGGTTAAAAACATAACTGTAGGCCTCCTTTCCCGTGTGACTAGTCTTGTGAATGACCCATACAAATGCTTACTTCCATTCCCTTTCCATCTGCCTTTGAACTCCCTAACTTCCTTCCCAGGATCTGTTTCATCATTTTGACCCTTGTTCTTTGACATTCAGGCCAGTGAGACCTTAAGAGCTTCAAAGTAAAAGAAAAAAACAAAACACACACACACACACACACACACACACACACACACCCCAACACCAACTTATTTTTATTTGTCTTTATGCTTCTGGCTCCTAAAGTATAGCAAATAAAGGTTAATAGTTATGTTTTATTTGTTTATTTTAGAGACAGAGTCTCACTCTGTCACCCAGGGTGGAGTGCAGTGGTGCAATCATAGCTCACTGCACCCTTGAACTCCTGGACTCATGTGATCATCTCGCCTCAACCTCTTGAGTAGCTGGGACTACAAGCATGTCCCACCATGCCTAGCTATTTTTATTTTCCTGTAGAGATGGGGTCTTGTTATGTTGCCCAGACTGGTCTCAAACTCCTAGCTTCAAGCCATCCTCCCACCTCAGCCTCCCAGAGTGTTGGGATTACAGGCATGAGACACTGTGCCCAGCCTCATTGATAGGTATTTGTTAAACTGAGGATAATTGATCAGCAACCATAGACTCTGGCGCTTTGGGCCTGTCTCTCTTTTATATCGAGGGTCATCATTTAACTTTGCCTGGAGCCTTCCTGTCCTTATACTTTGTCCTCCTCAGAGCTCAGAGTGAGCCTGGCTCCTCCATGTGGCTTTACCATGATTTTAACTGTTCTGTTAGTTAGAGGGGAGTTTTTGAGGGTGGTCTAAGAACCTTACTATTATTTGAAATAATATCAATCAACGTGGAATGAAAGGCAGTGTACTAAACTGAGACGAACCTCAAGAAGTGGGTGACGTCATCCCTTCATCACTGATGAGTAGACTGAGGCTTGGAGAGTTAAGTGATTTGTTTAAGATCACTGCACTAATATTGTGTTTCATCGATTGCAAGATACCCATCTTTTTCGTACTTTAAGATCTCTGCAGGGGGTGCACATCTCATAGTTAGTGAGGGTCTCAGTCCCCCTTGGTCTCCAGATAGTAGCCATGAGGGGTGACATTCCCTTTGCCTGTGTGAACCTGAACACACATACTCATACTGTCCCCATATCACCTCCTTTTTATTCATCCTTGGGGCTCATCTGGAGATTCCTTGCAAATAGGCTGGTTTTGAACATCAAGAGAGTATACATTTGAGTCAGTATGCTTGGGTTTTCCTCCCTCACTCACTTACAAATTATACTCTTAGCACTGAATAGAAAAAAACCACGGTGAAGATCGGACAGGTCTTATCATAGACCGGTGGAGTGTTACTTTGACATTTAGTGAAAGCAAACATTTATTGCTGGAAAAATAACTCCAACTCCATATTTTCTCACACAGTATCTATCATTCAGCCACTTGGAAAGGAGAATGACCAAAAAAGATGAGGCGTTGTTTGTGTTTTGTTACTGAAATATACGCAGAGCAAACAAATCACCTGTCACATGTGCAGCAGTGTCACCAATGCAAGAAAAATTGTCAGATGTCTTTGACTAGATAAAAGAAACGTCAGAGCCAGCAGAGGCTGCTGTGAATGATACACGGGTATCTCAGTACTGTTGTTAAGGCATCATGTCATTGTTTAAATGTGTGTGTTTTGTCACTGATAATAAAATAATGATGCATCTTAACACTCCTTGAGGTCTTGGATTCAGTGCAATCCTTCAAGTGGCAGATCTAATTTCAAACCCAAGCAGCTGAGCTCTGGAGATTTGATCCACATCCACTACACTCCTGGCTTTTCTTATCTTCATGGGAAAACACTTGCAGGGTGTAGAGGTTTGCACATCAAGTTTTAGAACACAGCTTGGTTGATAGTGAGATGATGGCTTCTTTGCTGAACGCTTAGCAGCATATTTAAAGCAGAATCTCCCCCAACTCCCAATACCTTGTAACTTTAGCTAAAATCTATTTTAAGTTAGCCACATCAAAATTGATCACACCGTTGAGCCATCAGACAGCAAATTATATTCGGTTTCATTCTTTGACTGGGACACTGAGGAAATGTTGACAGTTATGAAGATAATTACAACTGTTGAGGCTGGCGGAGGTCCAGTGAGCAGTCTCCTGTCCCCTGTTCTGGTTCAGAACTAAGGGAGTGTTCAACACGAGGGTGAGACATGGAGATTAAAACATTAGCATAGTGATAAATACTCCATCAGAAGACACAGTGTAGATGGGTGCCCATGACAGAGTGCTCATACTTCCCCCTGAATGTTTCAGACTTCCCACCTGGCCTAGCGCCACACATGAACAACTAAGGGGCATGGTTCTCGCTCCCTGGGGGGAGCAGCTGATCAAAATGCAGGTACTATGTAAATAGGCTGGTTTTGCAAAGGGAAAAATGACTGAGTCAAGCACACTTGCTTGCATCTCCATAACCATGTGGTTTCACCTGGGGAGGACAGAATGAGGGACAGGGAGGGAATATCCAGGAGTACCACTCTAGTGGAGACACCTTCCCTTGGTGGAACTCGAGGTCTCAGGAAAGGAGGCCCTTGCTTAATAACCGTGATCGTCAATAATAACAACACTAGGCAGAGTTCTCACGTTCAGAGTTTGCCTCATTTTAGCTCAGGCCAGAATCAAGGGACTTGGCTAAACAGGGCTGAGTGAGGTTACCTTTAATTTGAACATGGCACCGTCCTCTTGTGTCTAGAATCTCTTTTTACAATTTTCATTTAGTTGATTAATAGCCACAGGTATCTTTGTGTCACTGACAGTCATTGCATGTAAAATGTGTAAGAACAATCAGAAGCTGTCCTTCCATCCCAAAGCCAGAATTCTACTTAGAGGGATAATCTGGGAGTTCAGACATGGAAACTTCGGTCTTCTCAACACCAAGACTTTCTAGCAAAAATTAGTTCAGTCTTTTGAATGTTTTGGCCACATGATGGTAAATATCTGAATATTTTACAGATACCTGAATGTTATCATCCTGCAGTTTATCCAGGCAGATTTTCATCACTTTGCTGTAAGTCAGTGTATTCTGAATCTTACTTTTCATTTTCAAATGATCTCTCAGAAACTATGCGTTCTTTAGGAAGCTACTCATGTGTTGATTAAAAAATAGAATTGAATTGCTTCCTCACCAGTAGCATTCTAACAGGTACATTTTATTTATTTTGCATATTTTAAAAAGTTTGTAAAGTTGTCTAACCTAGTGTCTTTTTTCCTAACACAGGGCTAAATACATAGTAGGTCTGCCATAAATGCCTGTTGGTTTGTTAATCACTTCGGGAGTGAATCTCAGAGGAGACTGTGGCTTTCCGATGATAACTCCATTAGTTTTAATTGCTTTATTCTGAACATTAGGCTGGCAGAGTTTTGCATGGGTAGCTTGTGGCTACCTACACAACTTGTTCTGAAGATAAGCTTGCTGCTAGTATTTCTTTACTCCTGGGAAATAAACATATGCAATCTTCTTGCCATTATTCTTAATTTAAAACCGTATATTGTATGTTTAGCTTGTTTCTGGCCTTCTGGAGGTGAGGGGCTGAACCCGGAAGATAATTGGGGGTAAATGTCACACCATGTCCCTTTTGTAGGAGGGTGCAAGGCTCACACCCCCTGGTGAGCTACCCTTTAGGGGGCATCCCCTTGAAGACAGAGAACCAGAAAATGCATGGCTTGGTGTAAGCAGATGGAGCCCAGCCAGCAATCAGATCTAAGCTGGGAATCATCTGAGTCCCCTGGGCCTTATCCTTCCATCACTGCCCAGGCTGCATTTTCATTAAGGCTGATTTCTTTGCTCTTTCCTTTCCTCACCTAAATCTGTCATTGTGTAAATTCACCCTTACTGATGACACCGGTGTCAACTCTCCCCACCTCCTCTGCTTTGGTGACTCCAGAACATGTTCATTTCTCTCTCCTTCCGTGATGGTCGCATTCCCTTGGCTACCCTGCAGAAACACTCCTTAGATGCACAGCCTTCATTCCTGCTTCATAGATGCATGGATTTGATCTCTGGCTTTGCCAGGAACTAGCTAAGTGACCTCAAGCAAGTTATGTTGATAATCTCCAAGGACCTCAGTTTTCTCACCAGGGAATTGATCTACGATGACACTTGCCACTTTGGAATGTGCCTCCTATATGAGAGCGTGTGCGCTGTGATGACACCTTGCAGAATAAACAGTCATTTCCCACCTTTAGCCACTCCCTGCTGCAGAGGCGGGTGTTTGGCTTGATGCATGTCTGCTGCTAGTTCTTTTGGCTAACTTTCCACTTTTTTTTTTTTTTTTTTGCAGGGCTGGGAGAGGGCTCTGCCCTCCTTCATCCAGACAGCAGGTCCCACCCTAGGTCCTTAGAGAAAAGTGCATGGAGGGCTTTCAAGGAGTCACAGTGCCATCACATGCTCAAACATCTCCACAATGGTGCAAGGATCACGGTGCAGATGCCACCTACAATCGAGGGCCACTGGGTCTCCACAGGGTAAGAACACAGGTGGGGTCTGAAAGAGGTCACAAAGCACACCACTATGGAAGACCCTTCTTATGGGTTTTCAGATGCACAGAGACTTTATATCATTTACAATGATTTAGGTGTTGTCTAAGTTCTAATGAAGAACCAAACCACTCTTTGAAATCATGGTTGGTTAAGAAAAAGGGCTAAGTACTGTAGAAATCTTATGCTAAAGCAGAGATTATATTGTGTCCTTGTTAACCACACAGTGTGAGTGAATAGATCCTTGTTTACTGAACTCTATGGGTCCACTTGTGTATAAAAAGAAACCATTAGCAAGTGAAATTAAGAGTCTGCATTTCACCAACCCTGAAACATGACTTGCAAGCTCCGTGTAGTCTAAATATTCTAGCCATATTCTGGTAATTTAATATATGGCTTCAGGGTTCTAAGAGTAAGTTAAAAGCTACCTCTGCTAGCCAGGGTGCAGTTATTGGATTCTTTTCCATGCTGGGAAGCTGAGATTTATCCCAGTTTGAGCTCTGGCTTATCTTCCATTAGAGCTTTTTAAAAATAGCCTAGAGGCAGATCTGCTATTTTTTTCCTCTACCCATTAAACTGTTGAGAATTAACAAGACTAACTCTGGGATCTGATCACTTCTCCCTATGCACTGTTCCTGGGATATGGATAACAGCGTCTAAGTTCCTTCGGGAGGGATCAGATGAATGTGGAGAAGAGAAAAAAAGAAATTGTATAAGATGATGAAGACCCAGAATTTTATTTCATAAAAATGAGGTCTCTGAAAATAACCACAACAAACAATTTTCATAAACAACCTTAATGTTACATACTTTAAAAATATCATTTTATTCAACAAATATTTATTGAGTGCCTATCGTGTGCCAAGCACTATTTTAAGTTGTGTGTATATAGCAGTGAACGAAAGAGACCTGGTCCCTATCTTCAGGGGTTTTAAAAGTGCACAAGAAATACTATGGAAGTGGAGGGGTGGGGGAGACAACAGGTGCTAAAAGAGAATACCAGGGGGCCCCATTTTAAAATCAGGGTGGAGTTCAGAAAGTCCACCAGAGAGGGGAACCCTTGAGAGGAGACATTGTTGGCTGTGCAAAGACTGTGGGAAGAGCTTTGTATTTAAAGAACCAGAGGCCCAGTTAGATGCAGAGTGAGCAAGAGGCTGGCTAGATTGGAGGACTGGCTGGCTGAGAGCCCTGTGGTGGGGATGAAGTAAACCAGAGCAGACAGCCTCAGATGAGACTGCTGGGGAGGGTGGGACAGCTTTAAGGCATCTTGCAGACCAGAGGGAACTGAAACCTAAGAGAACTGAAAAGTCATTGCAGACCCTTCAGTAGGGGCCATGCTTAAAACATGACTCAATTTTATGAAAGGGCATTCTGGCTGATGTTTGGCAAGTGTATGGGAGAAAAAGTGATTTGGGGGTGAGCAGCTAAAAGACCTTTGCAACTGTTCTGTTTAGAGGGGACGGAGACTTGGGTAAGAGGAGCTGCAGGGGCAGTTGAAAAGTGAGTGGGCCTGAGATCCACTGTACGTGGCAGGCAGAATCAACAGACTGTTGATGCTTGGGTATAAAAAATTAAACATAAGGGATCTTCTTTCCTAAACCTCATCTAACATGAATCACTGCTTACCCTAAACTTCTCTTTCCTTGTGGGAGAAATCCGGGGTATTTTCTCTCTCCTTTTCCTAAGATTACAGATAACCCAAGTACTGCTGTGTGCCTTATGTCCGTAGGATGTTACTCGACATCAGTTGTTAAACTTCACGTAACAACGGTACCCGCTTCTAAATAATGCTTATCTTTCACCAATCCATCAACAAATAAATTAAAATGTTAGCAATTTTGAAAACTACTTGTGTTTGGCATTTTAGCCCGACTGCTTGATTTAGCATTGCTTTTTCAGTTCAAACCAGAATCCGTGTTAGCATCATAGATGAGAGCAGAGTGGGAAGGCCAGAACAGATGAGCTGAAAGTCATGGAGTAACTGAGACTAGGATCTAACAAAAGGCAAAGGCCAGGTTACTTGCCCAGGGCTTTAAGTACCTCCCCGTCCCCCCTGTTGCAGTCTCAGCTGGTATATGTGAATAGATGACAATCAGAGCTGTGCGTGAAATTCCTCAATTCCATCCCACTGCTGTTATGCTCCATAGATTCTGTCTTAGTGCTTCTGGCTCAGGAACCTAGCATTCATCTAAGACCACATGGTCAACCATCACAAACAAAAGGAGCCCTTATTTCTGTTGTGCGAGCTTTGCTTTTAGTTAATTCCTCCTTTACTTATCTGCTAGAGAGAAAATTAATTTTGAATGGACAAAGGGACGAGTTTTCATTTGCCGCTGGGTGACTAGATTCTGTCTCAGGATGACAGAAATTTTGCACCTGCTTATTGTTGACAAGGTCCATAAAATAAAAGTGTTCAGGAAGTCAACCGTCTTTGAACTAGGGTAAGGGAACTTCTTTTATAGGCCAGCACAACACTCGTCCTCTTTATCCAGAAAGAAATACCTGCATAAGGGAGGCTCACAGGTGGAGGTGAGGGCAGCCAGTGTTTGCCTTCCTGGCCTGCTCGCGAAGCGAGTGGAAGGCTGGCTGAGGCTGAGTGACCAGCAGCACCCCGTCAGAGCCAGGCTGCCTGGATTCATGGACTGGCTGTGATACTTGCTGGTCGTGTGCTCTTGCATATGTTCCCTAACCTTGTGCCTCAGTTTCCCCACCTGTAAAATGTGGGTGATGATAATACCCAACTCGTAGGTTGTGGTGAGGAATCAATGAGTTGGTATCTATAAAGGGCTGACAACAGTGTCTGGCCCATCATCAGCATTTTATTATTATTTCTGTATTTCTTAATACTATAATGAATCTCTTTCCCATACCTTTGGGCTTACAAAGGTCTCTCCTTCCCCCTTTCTTTCCCAGCTGTGAAGTAAGGTCAGGCCCAGAGTTCATCACAAGGTCCTACAGATTCTACCACAATAACACCTTCAAGGCCTACCAGTTTTATTATGGCAGCAACCGGTGCACAAATCCCACCTATACTCTCATTATTCGGGGCAAAATCCGCCTCCGCCAGGCCTCCTGGATCATCCGAGGGGGCACGGAAGCTGACTACCAGTTGCACAACGTCCAGGTGATCTGCCACACAGAGGCGGTAGCCGAGAAGCTGGGCCAGCAGGTGAACCGCACCTGCCCAGGTTTCCTCGAAGATGGGGGCCCCTGGGTGCAGGATGTGGCCTACGACCTCTGGCGGGAGGAGAATGGCTGTGAGTGCACCAAGGCTGTGAACTTTGCCATGCATGAGCTTCAGCTCATCCGGGTGGAGAAGCAGTACCTTCACCACAACCTCGACCATCTGGTTGAGGAGCTCTTCCTTGGCGACATTCACACCGATGCCACCCAGAGGATGTTCTACCGGCCGTCCAGTTACCAGCCCCCACTGCAGAATGCCAAGGTACCCTCAGAGCTCTATGTTCTCCTCTTTATTGAGTAAAGTGGGTGATCCTTCTTAAAGGCTTGCCATGGAGGCTCCAGGGCACCTGTGCAAGGGGGAATCTGCATCATGCTGGGGCAGGCCAAGGTGGGGCTGCTGCAAGGTGGGAGGAGACATGGAAGGCTGGGGCTGGAAGGCTGTAGCCAGTCAGGAGACCTGGATCTTCCACCAACTTGCTCTGTGACTCAGAGTCTCAGTTCTCCTACTGAAGTGGATGGTGGTGTGGGATGATGGTTCTAGAAAAATTTCTAAGGCTCCTTTCAGCTCTCCCATCCCAGGAACGTCTTCAGTGATTCCAAGAGGAAAGTGTGAAGGAAACGTGGTGATGTTATAACCACACCTGGAAAAGCTACTAAACAATAGCAACCTGGGCCCCAGAGGAGGCGGGGAGGGACAGAAAGGGGAGGCGACAGGGATTTGCGTGAGGATGTTAGACTCCACCGAGACCTTCCACCAGAGTCACTGCTTCTACTCCTCAGGGACACCCTGGTGAGTCCCGACCCTCTTAGGCAGAACAGGCTACTGAGATCCCAGGGCTTGACCAGGCCATGAGTTTTCCTGCTAGACCATGAGCCCAAAGCTTCTTTCTCCATACCCGACATTCTTTCCATTTCACTAAGGAAAATGTAAAGTCACCATGATCAGAAGAGGGGACTAAGGAGGGCAGGAAACAATTAAACCTTATAATGTCTTTTCCTTGAATGATATTCTAGTAATTATATTTGGAATTCACAAGGCATTTCCTTTCCACAAGCTTAGAGCACATGTCCATGTGTAACTCGATCGCCTCCACCATCTCCCCACAGACCCTGTGGAGTCCCATGCTGGAGGGGCGTGGGCTTCTGCCCAGGGTGCAGTGCGAACATGCAGATGCGGGCCTGCTGCAGGCGGGCAGTGGGCAGGTCTCTGTGGAGCATCTACACGGCCATCCCCCCCAGCTTCGTGGAATACTCTTGAGCACAGTGGCTCTGTAACTGCGGAGCCCTGCTTAAATTTTGTTCGGTGGTTTCTTCATTTTTCAAAAAATCTTTTTTCTTATTAGTCCTCCAAGACTACTCATAACCAATAGAGGTACCACAATCTTGCTCTGCCAAAGGCTGCTCCATGTTATCTTTTTTTATCTGTGTTATCATGAGCTTATGAAATGCAAGTGGCTCTTAATATAATTATGAAACAGCTGCTGAGGAAGCCCGCTTGGTGGAGGCTGCTTCCTCTGGATGCGCCTTGTCAGGGCTGTGTCCCCGTGTGTGAGATGAAGCCCTGTGCTCACCCCATGTGCCTAGGCCCAGTGCTCCCACTGGCTCAGGATGTCCCTGGGAGTTTGTTCCAACACAGATCAGGAGCCAGACTCATTTCATTCTGCCTTGTAAGTTTCCAATGCACTGAAGAGGGCAACATGAGTTAGGGTACAGAGGGAGGGTAGCCTCTGATGCCGGCTCCATTGCTGCTGCTGTTGGGGGCCCCAGAGGTATTCCTAGAAAGGGCCACAGGGAAAGGAGCCCAAAGCTCTGTCCCTTCAACATGTCGATTCCCCAGCATAGGTATCAGGAGGAGAATCGTCTCATAGGGTGATAGCTGGACTGGGGTGTGCTTTCTCGGTCACACTTGAATGGGTGTCTTGGAAAAATGGGTAGGAATAATGGTCTTCGAATTATATTTTAGGACCTTTCTGGTTGGCAGCACTGCCCAGAGGTGGCACCGGACACTGTAGCTGCATAGCATTTCTCTTGTTTTATCAAAGCCAAGTCCACTTGTTTTGAGATAGTAGCAGGAGAAGGGGCTTCATACCTACCTTTGGCTCGCTCTGAGTATAGTCTAGCCACCTTTCTGAGTTTTTTGTTTAGTTTTTTGTTTTTGTTTTGAGACGGAGTTTCACTCTTGTTGCCCAGGCTGTAGTGCAGTGGTGCAATCTTGGCTCACTGCAACTTCTGCCTCGGGTTCACGTGATTCTCCTGCCTCGGTGTCCCAAACTGGGACTATAGCGCCCACCACCATGCGCAGCTAATTTTTGTATTTTCAGTAGAGATGGGGTTTCACCATGTTGGCCAGGCTGGTCTTGAACTCCTGACCTCACATGATCCGCCTGCCTCAGCCTCCCAAAGTGCTGGGATTACAGGCATGAGCCACCGCACCTGGCCACAATCTTTCAAATGATTTCAGGTCACGGAGGAAGGTGTGAATGTCATGAATAAAAATGGCCTGCAGATAATCCAGAAACCTGGGGTTAGCCAGGAGCATCCCTGCAACCCCTTATTCCCCCAGGACCCTTGTGAAGGTCTGCTGAGTAGGCAGAGCCTGCCCACCCTCCAACAGAGACACCGAGGAGCCGCAAAACACCAAAAAGCAGGGAGCCCTGAGTGCCAGATCTGAGTGAGGAAGCAGGTGCGGCCAGGGAACTTGCTGGGCCGGCGTCGGCCGGGCTGTAGGCTCTGAACCTGACCTTGGGCTGGTCCTTTGCACCCACTCAGGTTGTAGTTCCTTTTCCTCACCTTCATGTGCCTGGGTGGGCTTTGATCTCTTTTGCTCTTTTTAGTACTGGGAGAAAAATTAACCATAACCACGTTTATTTTCTTACCTCTCTCTCTACCCTCAACACTCTGGTGCACTTCGTGGATGTAGCTACACGGATGGAGTCTGAAAGCCCAGTCAGCATTGCTAAGGCTGGTGCCCAAGAGTATTCTCTCTCCCACTTTAAATACACAAAATACACACTCTTATCAGTACCGCATCACACCTACTTACAGTTTTAAAGGAAATATTGGTTGACTGCTTGTTATTCTCTTCCCTCATCTTTTTCGTGTCTCCATTATTAAGCACAGTTATAGGCATACCCATTTTTAGACTGCATTCTAGCCTGGGCAACAAAGCAACACCCCCGTTCTCTCTCCCTCTTCCTCGTCCTCCTTCTTCCTCTCCTTCATTCTTTTTATTATTATGATTATTTTTTCTTTCTTTCTTTTGTTTTCTCTAAAAATAAATAAATAAATAATAAACACTTCCTCCCATTTTCTCCTCCCTGCTCTGCTAAGGCAGTTGTGGGAACATTTATCCAGATTCTTAAGAAGTAGACTCTTTAATATAGGCTGATTCCTTGACGACAGAAAATTAAGGGTGGAAAGAGCTCTAGGACCTTAGATATTACCTGAGACACATTGTTAAGTAGAGGAAAAAGGAAGTTACAAAACAGCATGAACAATATGATACCTTGTGCATAAAACCGATCATGAAAGGAGAAGGAGATGGACTCTTTGCAGAGGAATCAGATATTTCTGGAGGAAATTAATGGCTGCCTCGGAGGAAGAGACAGAGCTGTTGGTCGGACAGAGACTTTTCACTTTTGGTACCTCTTGCATTTTGTCCTGTGTTGTTCTAAGCCCAGTCATCACGGAAAATTTAGATTAAAAAAACAACAACAAACAAAAGCCGGCAAACACTCTCAGGCCCAGAGGAATGCTGCGGCCACAGATGCAGGTGGCAGCCCAGCTGGGAGGAGGACCCAGGCTTCCCAAGCCGGCCTGGCGGCCCCGCAAGATGGCTGGAGGTCAGTGGAAGGCCGAGTGGCTCTGGGAGCTGAAAGGGCCCATTCTTCTGTTGTTGTCTCTTGCCTTGTACCTCTTGGCCTGCAGCGTGCAGCGGAGTCTTCAGGAAGTTTTCAGATCCTTCCCCAGGACAGCTCCGAGAAGGCACGAAATGGACTCAGTCATTGGTGCCTTTCCAGAGCCGGCACCACAAAGCCCAGGCGCTGTGTACCCACGCGGGCCCGGCAGCAGCAGGTCGTCTGGCCCGTCTGTGGCTGCCCGGCAGCGACAGGAAAAAAGGCTGGGGGAGCATCTTCAAAGACCGCACACGCCTGTGCAGGAGAGGCTGGAAACTCCTCCTCTGAACTCTTCTCTTTCCCTAATTGCTGGTCTGTAGAGACCGGGCTGAAAATTAGTTTAAATGCTAAATTGAGTTTCAAACCACGAGTCTCAGCCCCTCTAGAAACAGGACACCATGTAAAAATACAAACTTTAAGTCAACTTGTTTTTCTAAGCTTTATGCAGCTTTGCTGTGAGGTCCAGTATCCTTTGGCAAATAAGTTGTGTTTGAAGAGATTCAGGTGTGCGGGGAGAGTTCTTTCAGGATAGAATTGGCTACTCTTCGTTATACAAAAGTCAAGACAGCCTAAAATAACCCTGAAAGAAGATGCTTTGCCTGAACCGAGTTTAGCATCAGAGCAGCCATAACCCTCTGCCGAGATTCTTCAGAACCGTGCACTTGCAGGGGTAGCAGCCAGGCTCGTGCTTTCAGGGATGGAATCAAACGGTAATTAAAAGCAAATGATTGCCAGGGTCGTGAGAGATGCCAGAACCTCGGGATCAGACTCATAAGCGAATGGAATTGGTCTTTCTCCAAAATCCTGCACTGATTTAACCACAGGATTGTAAATCAAAGGGGCTGTCTGAAAACCGGATAGCCTTCCCCAGGCCGTGTATCTGAAATATTTGATCCCAGCACATGTACAGCAGGGGAGCTACACACGGGAGAAAGAACAGCATCAGGCTTTGGGAGTACCTGAAAACTGCAGGAGAAGAGTGTGCTGCCCTTTCGCTCTCAAATTCTTTGGGAGCCCCTAGGCTGTGAGTCAGCATATGTGTTTGAGGTAGCTTGCCTCTCAGAGGTTTTTTAGAGGATGTTTGACCTATGCAGCTTCCTGATATCAGTGACAACGTGGGGATGTTGAGTCAGGTGGCCTTGGGTCCTGGACTTTTCAGTCCAGCTTCAGGAGTCGGCATGGAGGGATGTCTCCCTGAACACGTGCTTGGCGTGACTCCTGGGTAGGTGGGCACCCGGGTCGCTGGGTATAGAAGGAGCCAGGTGCTTTTGGAAGAATTCCACGCCACTTCTCTTTCTGCTGGTGTGATTTGCAGAGGTGATGGGAGATGGAGGAGGTGGTGAATGACCAGAAGTTCAAGAAGTCA